GTATCATTTTATTTGAACAAATGATCGGAAAAAAATGGACAATATTAATTACCTACCTTGCACCTACCATAATTTTATTTTGAAATGTGACATGTTCTGGACTTATCCGATTTTTGATTTTTTAAATAAATTTAATTCGTTGTTCTAGATAAGACTATCAGCAACTGTACTGATATCCATTTACAGTTCACACTGCCTTCATTAATTATATAATTTATTGTAATATGGAACTGTTTGTAAAATAAATCTGTGATTCTTATTAATACAAAGATGTTTCGATTCACATACCTATAACTACAATATTCAAGGCATGTAAAAATTATTTGAATTCTGTATTGATATATCAGAAACTGATGCTTTCGGGAAAAAAATTATAACCCAGGTAGCATAGATTAGTGAAATGACGTCATAATGACGTCTTTTTTACGTCATTATTGGCCCATGACGTCCTCGACTTCATAGAGACCTGAAAATTACGTCAACTTTTTGTCATTTGTGAACTCAACTTATTCAGCTCTTCCAACATTTTCTACAGAATGTGCAATAACATCTGTATCCCCTTCATTACCAGTTTGCGAGGGAATGTGAATAATGTCATCTTTCGAGTTTACAGAAGTGAAAAATTTAGTCTTATTCATCGATTCACACATAGAAAATAAATATGGAAATCTAATCTGATCAGAATTCTGGATCTTGAACCACCCTGTATTTGTTCCAAATCAAAAGTTAAGATAGGGACATGTAAGTCGGTTTGACCAATAATTAATAGTTTGGACACAAACAGAAACCTAAAATTGAAAATTCTCATTTCGATGAAATTGGCTCTCCAGGAAGAACCTTAAAATGCAATTATATACAGGGTGTCCCATTCAGAAAACTTATCATCAGCCGATATCTTGTAATTCGAACACCCTATTATAAACAGGTAAATTGGACTAACACTCAGAGAAACCCGAAAACGTAAATGAACAAGTATATTAAATAACAAAAATAGGTACTACAGTTTATCACCCACTGAACGCGTTGAGCATACTGACTCGCCTCTTATCATCCCAAATTCCATACCAGCTCATTCGCTCCAGCCGTTATTCCTTACATAACCCATAGTGAATCAACACCCAACGAACATGAAATACAGGGTCGTTCCTTCGGATCGCTTATACTATAGATATCCATGTAAAACACGTTTTCGAATGACGGATGATATAGAATATAGTTTAACGACAACTTATATTACACGTTGACGAATAACAGTCGAAAAACGTTGTTGAAAAACGTTTCATTTACGTTCTTCTTCCACTTTCGGTCAGAAAACGTTGACAGATTCGCGTTACAGGAATGTTTATTTCGAACGTCTAACTAACGTTTCGGAGAAACAGATCGTCAGGATATATAGTTTTCAATACGTTTATATAGCGTTTTGATTTCACTTTCAATACTTCAATCATATTTCAACATTGAATTTCCCAACCATAAACGTCTATCTAACTTGTTCTACGTTGATAATACGTTGAAAAAACGCACGTGTGCCCATTGGGTTGGAGCCTCATTTGGAATGACCTTTCTTTCTATATCAGACGTCTTCGTCCACCGGGTAGGTCAGGTAGGTGTTCTTTGGAGACAGAACAAGAACAACCGAATTTGCTTCCCGAGTTACCCCGAGGTCCCAAGTAACCCCATCTTACAGTAATACTGTTCAAAACTCAATAATTTGCAAATTTGAGCTCCTGAAAAAGGGAAAAGCTCTTGTCGTTGCTTTAACATGTTCATGGCTTTAATTTAATTCAAACATTTGATTCAGCCAACCCAGTTCATACCCATACATTGCGATTATTTTTTCGGGAGGTTTTATTTTTTTCGCTGAATGAACGAGTCTTTGGAAAGAGATGTTCTGTAGGTCTCCAAAGTGACCACGAAGGGGTGCGAAGCCTTAACTCGACGTGTTATAATCTCGCGGAGACTGCCAAGGCAGGAACAATTGTTGATATTTCAGAAGAGCATCGTCCATAAAAATATCGATAAAATAGAGCCAACTTTTCTACGGTGTTTCTGAGAAGTGAGTGAGTTTGTGAGTGAGGCATCACCCGCGAGACGAATTGCCCTTTCTTGGACAGAATCCAACACTTTTCAGAGTATGTTCGGGTTCTGCACTCCAAATCAAATAAGGGAACAGTATTCCAGGACAGGTCTTATAGATCATAAGCTGCTGATTTTCCCAAAAAAGGTTATTGCTGATAGTAATACCAAGCATCGAAATGGATGTCATCAATGGTATGGTTACTCCTGACAAGCTTATGTTGAGCACAAAGTGAGATCGGCGTTTCTAGAGAAATGAAGGCATGCTTGTGTTTTGTTTGCATTGAAATCTACCAAGTAATTGGATCCCCATTCGAGAATTGTTTACGCTCTTTGTATCCAACGGGGTTTCAATCATCGATCAATCAGTATTTTGCCGGGGTAGCAACCGGGTGGGACCAAATCCCACCCCCCTCTCACAACACTCCCATAGGGGATGACTGTCGGTCACCTATCTTTCGACCTATACCGACAGCACCCCTGGGAGAAATGGAGGATTTGGATACGCCAAATCAGCGCGCTAGAGCCATCTCCGTTATATAACGGCATGTTCTCCTGCTATCATTTTATTATACCAATATGGTGAGGCCGTCTGATAAGACAGACATCTGGCTCTGCAGTGTCAGTGCCCGAGCAGAAACGCTGCTCACTTGCCGAGGCAGGCAAAATATCCTCCCACTTGACCCATAGTGGGATTCTTCTTCACCTCTACCGTAGTCCGGTGGTGTTTTTTTGGAAAACGCTGCCCCGTGGAGTCCAACCCAATTGGTGAGGCATCAGGCCCTATGTACGACCTGATGGGGCAATCCTCATCACCCCAGGTAACCATGTCAACAAGATTCATCTTATTTTGATTGATGGGTTACCGTCGCAAGAGGCTTTGGCCTGATTGCTACTCATGTTGACAAGAATCCTCTCGTTCCGTTGAATGTGTGATCGTTGGAGGACTTTTACACGTTCCTCTACCTCGTTTACAGGAGAGGACGGGGCTTTGCCTACGATGACTGGCAGTAGGATCGCTTGGGGCTACCCCCTCCCTGACGAACTAAGGCACAAGGTACAGCAAAGTTCCATTTTTCGCTGAGCAAGCCCAGCTACCCATGTCGACCAAAATCCTCCAGTCCCGTTTGATGGGTGTCCGTTCGCGGCCTTTAACACGTAACCGCTACCATGACAAGAGTGGGGACCTCAAGCTATTAACCAGTAGGAGTCTCCTGGGGCTACCCCCACCCCGACGCCGTGAGTACACGGTGGGCCCACGGCCGATCCAACGGGGTTTATCGAATTTTGGTGGAGTTCGACTTGATCTTTCAATTCAAGATAATATACACTCACGGGCAAAAAGAACCGGCCACCAAATAATTTAGCCAAATTGTTTGCTCTGTAACTTTACCAATTCTGATCCGATTTTGGTGAAATTCCGACCGAATCGTAGATTCATGTTTTGAAATGTTAGCCTGAATATTAGTTCCTAAGAAAATCTGATGACACGATCATTATACAGGGAAAAACGAAAGTTACTTTTTCACCCTTAACTTCTAAACGCCCTGTGGCAAAGGTGAGTGGTTCAACTTAGCTTCATTATGTTTTAGATTGAAGAGTGATCTCTTCTCTACATGATGTTTTTTTATTCACGTCGATAACCACTTTTTAAAGGAAGATACATGTGTTTCAAGGGATTATGGATTTTAAAAATGTTCATTCACAATAATTCAGAACCATTCTACAACCTTCTGCTTCAGCATGTTTTAAATTGAAGTGAGATCCTCTTTTGTTCCTTCTTCATACAACGGTTCTTGAATAACGTCAATATCTCCTTTTTGAGGGAAGATACATGTGTTTCAAGAAAGTATAGATTTTTTGATTTTCAATAACAATAATTCAGAACCTACCTACCTATCTCAGGAGTGACCTCTAGAGGTTCATTTGCCTTCGCCCAGCCTTGTCAGATACTCTTCAAGAGCTATGATTCGCTCTTCAAGGAGGATTTTGTGCAATTCTTCAAGGCTTCTTGAGTAATTTGATCCATTCGATGCCACTGCGGTTGAATGCTGTAATTCAATATCGAGGAGAGTATGCTCGTTATGTATTTTTTGTGATTGATTTTCCGGTAAGTGCTAAGAAAGTAAGGTAGAAATATGTGATAATAATCCTTGAAGTTGTTGATCAATGAGCTCATGTAAGTTCTGATTATTGGTAAAAAAAGTTGAAAAACACCATACTTCCTTAAAACACCCGTATTTTCTTTTTAAAATAAGATATTGACGTGCATCAAAAACTTTCGTATTAAGAAGGGATCACACTTCAATCCAAAGCATAATGAAGCCATGTTCAATCACGCAATTTTTCCACAGGGCGTTGAGACGGATAGGGTGAAAGAGTAACTTTGGTTTTTCACTGTATAATGATCAAGTCATCAGCTTTTCATTAAAACTAATATTTAGGCTAACATTTCGGAACATGAATCTACGATTTGATCTAAATTTCACAAAAATCCGACAAGGATTAAAAAAGTTATAGTGTGAACAATTTGGGCAAATTTTTTGGTTGCCGGTTTATTTTGCCGGTGAGTGTATATCTGGAGAGAATTCAGCTCACACTGAATTATATCGCATAAGATTATGAACCTAGCAAGTATTATTCGGTTTCATTTGGAAATAGAATAGTAAATAAAAAGGAGAAGTATTGCATATTAAGACTAAAACAGGCACTCCTGGTGGTAGAAGAGGATGTACGCCTCCTCACTCACTACACATTTCGTTGACGAGCCAAGCATTGTGATGGGGATGACGACAATATTACCATACTTTGTAGGTGATGAAACAAACTGTAAGACCACCTCTCAAGCCAAAACTAAATAAATACTCTCTGCATATCCATGGTATCCATTGATGTTTCAACTTGTTTACTATGAGGTAACTATAGTAGTTACCTCTATGACAATGTCAAAAAGTTAATTTCAAAAGTGGCAGTGAATGTGCTCAGAATAAATATTCAAAATTATACGTGCGAGACAGGATAAACATGTTACCCCATCTAGCTCTGAAACCAAAACCTGTTGAGGTGCCTCAAAAAGGTAAGTTCAATCTCATTCCGTGCTCGGTATTGGAAAATATAGGTTCGTGTTAGGTGTTTAACACCTCTATATCAATTCAAATTAGAACATCTCATTGTAAATACTTATATTTCTTTCACCATTTCTTCAATGCCATTAAGAGGTGTATCATTTATTTAATTATAATCTTTTGAAGAAGTCCATGGTAACTCAAAGTAGAGTGGTGCAGTTCATAGATGAAAACCCAAAGTCATCTCCACAACATTTATTAGAATGATCAAAGATCAATCGAAAAGGAACATGTTTCTGGCTCATATAAGCCCATCATCAGCCAATAGGGTAAAACTGCATTTATCATGCGATGTATTTTTTTTCGAAAAATTGTTTGGCACTTACGTACGTATTTTTGTCTGAAGAACACGAATTGGTTCAAGTTTTGTTTAGCTGAAATCAGTTATGGAAAATTTGTTGCTATGGCAACCGTTGTCATGGTAACAGGTAAACAGAAAACAAAATCCCGTGGTGAGGAAATGCATGGTTGCCAAGTTGTATCGGGTTTAGTATAGCTGAAGCTGAAATCAGTTATGGAAAAACTGTTGCCATGGCAACGATCGTCATGGTAAGGAATAAACAAAAACCTGATTCCCGTGGTGAGGAAATGCGTGGTTGCCAAGTTGTATCGGGTTTAGTTTGGCTGAAATCAGTTATGGAAAAACCATTGCCATGGCAACGATCGTCATGGTAACGAGTAAACAAAAATCCAATTCCAGTGGTGAGGAAATGCGTGGTTACCAAGTTGTATCGGGTTTAGTATAGCTGAAATCAGCGCAATCTTCGACCCTCAAATTTTGTTTCACAAAAGTTCTTGCTAGTATTCAAACAATAACTTGGTCGAATGAATACCCTTCTTATCAATTTCTTGAAGACTATTCGTCGTTGATTAATTCCCAAATTACTACTTCTCTGACGATCATATATGGAAATAACGACAGGAGAAAATAGGCTTTGTTATTGAACAGAGCTAGACAAAATAGTGCGGAATGCGGAACAAATAGCGCATAAGGAAGGATACTACTTTTTCTAAACAATCTAACCTAACTCGGCTTAAATGAACCTTCTCAGAAAAAATCTATTTTTCAACATGTGTTTGAAGACTGCATAAAAAAGGACACTACTTTTTCCAAACAATCTAACCTAACTCGACTCAAATCAACCTTCTTCTTGAAAAACATATATTTATAACATCGTTCAGATTTGGTAGCAAGGCATCGTTCGTGTATGTTTGAAGACTGTTGCTGAATCAAAATGTGCGCATCAAGAAAGGTATGGGTGAATCGAAATGAAGGCAAATGGAAATGTGGGTGGGCCTAACGAGATGTTTCCATCTGTATTAGAAAGTCAGTACTTGTAGTCTCTCTTCCTATATAAATACCTCGTAATGAATATTCCAAAATGGCTCTGTTTCTTTTTGATTTTGTCGAATAGCTCGGCACGCGAAGGATGATGGTTACATTGAAGAGTGTTTTTGAAATTAATGAATGAAGCAATAATTCTCCGATACAACTTGGCAACCACGACGCATTTCCTCACCACGGAAATCTGATTTTTGTTTACTCGTTACCATGACGATCGTTGCCATGGCAATAGTTTTTCCATAACTGATTTCAGCCAAAATAAACCCTATACAACTTGGCAACCACGCATTTCCTCACCACGGGAATCGGGTTTTTGTTTACTCCTCACCATGACGATCGTTGCCATGGCAACAGTTTTTCCATAACCGATTTCAGCTATACTAAACCCGATACAATTTGGCAACCACGCATTTCCTCACCACGGAAATCGGGTTTTTGTTTACTCGTTATGATGATGATCGTTGCCATAGCAACAGTTTTTTCATGACTGATTTCAGCTAAACGAAACTTGAGCCCACGAATTTGATAATGAAAATGTGAACAAACCACTATTCATGGAGATATTTCAAGAACAAGTTCAAAATTTCGCATTGTTTTTTCCCTTGTGTTGGATGCATTTACTTGCTTTTTTATTTTGTCATTGGACACTTTATATACTCATGATGTATCAATGACATATTTATATATAGAGAATTCAACAGGAAATATGATTTTTATGGCTAGTTTTCCATATTTAGTTATCAAGCATACCAGATGACGGTCATTTTATCAATAGGCAATCCAAAAACGAGATGTCTAATGTCAATAGATTGCTTTTGAATAGATAGATAGATAGATATCATTTATTTTGCCAAAGATTACAGTTTTGTAATATAGCAATAGTCAAATATATAAATATACACAAAAAGATGTATACATACATATATAAACGAATACTAACACATATATAGCTTTAAAAAATATATCACAAACTAAGTATATAAACACTGGGTAATATTAAAGACGAATAGACAAATTATTCAAAGTACTCTGACAGATGGTAGAAGCACTTATCTATTAAAAATTCCTTGAGAGTTTTCCTGAACTTGGTAAAGCTGACAATATTTTTAATCGTGTCAGGTAACTTATTAAAAATACGCAACCCCATGTATTCGGGTGAGTTATAGCTTATACCCATTTTTGCAAATGGCACACTGAAATTATTTTTATTCCTGGTATTCATTGAATGCATATCTTTATTCAGTTTGAAGCTATTTCTATTTTTAAAAATGTATATAGACATTTCCAAAATATATAAAGAAGTAAGCGTTAATACCCTAAACTCTGTAAAAATGTTTCTACAAGAATGAGTATATTTCACTCCAGCAATACATCGGATAATGCGCTTTTGTGAAATAAACACATCTGCTGCTAGAGTGGAGTTACCCCAAAGACAAATACCAAATCTAATGCGGGAGTCTACTTGTGCATAATACAAATTCATCATTTGTCCTCTATTTAGAACACATTTAACATTTTTGAAAAGGTAATGGATTGAATTAAGTTTTGATATCAATGTTTCACATTGTGGTTTCCAAGTGAGAGTTGGATCAATCTTGATTCCCAAAAAACTGATCGCCTCTACACTATCTCGTACCATACAGTTGTTAATAGATATATTTAGTGGATCACATACTTTTTGTCTGTTATGAAATGTCGCTAATTGAGTTTTTTCAGCATTGAAAAATAATTGATGTTCCTCAAACCATTCACGTGTATTTTCTAATAAATTTGTAATATCTGTTCTAATATTTATTGCTGACGGATTAGAGATAATTAACGATAAATCATCTGCATACATTGTGAAAAACTGATTTTTCAGAAATAAATCAAGGCTATTTACATACAGCAAAAATAGGCAAGGTCCCAGCACTGAACCTTGTGGAACACCCGATTCCACTGAAGAATAGTCTGAATTATATTTTTTAATTTCAGTCAGATCTGTATATTGTATTTGGACAAATTGTTTTCTATACTTCAAGAAAGATGATATCCAGCTTAGAGGCTGCCCTCTTATTCCAGAGTCATACAGCTTTGATAGTAGAGTATCATGATTGACACAGTCGAATGCCCTGCTGAGATCACAGAAAATCCCAACAGGACACTCGGCGGCCTCAGCCATTGACATGACATTGACATGACAATGACATTACACACGCCATTATTTTAAATGATATTCTTCCTTCTTTTCACTAAATATAGGGATAAATCACGAGAAATTCATGTTTCTAGTTGACTCATATAATAGAAAAAAATGTGTCGTATAAATAAATTGTCCAATAATAAGAAAGAACGGCAAATTTTTCTATATAAATGCGATCCAGAAGACAGGCGGAAAAGAAGGTGAAATTTGTAACTTATTTATAGTGAAATATTTTAATAAATAATGGTTTGTTCACATTTTCATCATCAAATTCGTTTTTTTCAGACAAAAATATGTAAGTACCAACAAACATTTTCGAAAAAAAAAACCATCGCATGATAAATGCAGTTTTACCGCCGATAAAAAGTATCATCAAATACAGGGTGGTTCAAGAATCAGACTTCTGATCACCCTGTATCTGTTACAATTACGACATGTCAGTAGATAGTAAATCAAAAGTTGAGATAGCGACATGAAAGCTTTTGACCAATAATGAATAGTTTCGACACAAAAAAATCCTAAAGTTGAAAAATCTCGATTTTGAACACCCTTTATCCCTGGAATCATTCCAGCTAGACCCCAAGTGTGATGCATTGATGAAATCAGCTCTTCGGGGAGAATCTAAAAATGCAATTTATATTTTAGAACGATGCCCCCCTCGGAAATGTAGTTGACGTGTTTCAGATTTTTTTCATAATCCGGTTTTGCCGACTTACAGAGCCGCTGTTTCGTTTTCAATGGCCCACTCTGTATATAAGCCCGAAACATATTCCTTTACGATTGATCTTTGATCATTCTAATGAATGTTGTGGAGATGACTCTGGGTTTTTCTCTATTACTCTATTATGTTTCTGATATTTCTGAGGAGACATGAATTATTCACAACCAAACTTCGAAATCACTGCATAATTAGAACAAAATTGCCACCCTGGAATGTCAAATATTATTATAAATATCTCAAATATTGCTGAACTCAGCGGAACAAAGTTATGTTATTATGCCACAAGAAACCTAGAAATATGTCGAACAACCCTCTATCAAAACTCGCTTTTTTATAAAATAGCGAAGCAAGTGTTCAGTATTCCGCAGAGATGCTGAAACATATTCAATCCATTCATTTTTTGACAAAACATCAACTGAATATACATGGAAAATATGTGAAAACCTTCATTGGATGTCCCAGAAGGGTGTTTTCGCAGATATACAAAATGAAATTTCAAGAATATACAGGGTTGGGCAAAAGTATGGAAACAGGTGAATATCTCGGTAACCGTACGTTAGATTTTTTTGAATATATGTACAGGGTGATTTCAAAACGTGGTGGATTTGAAAATGTTATTGTCGATGTTGCCACTTTTTCTGTTATTCCGGAATTATTATTAACTTCCTTATTCGAAATAGACCACCCTGTATTTTATTGAATTTACAGATTCTCCCTGAAAAGCTGATTTCATCAATTCATCACACTTGGGGTCTAGCAAGAATGATTACTGAGATGTAGGGTGTTCAAAATCGAGATTTTTCAACTTTAGGATTTTTTTGTGTCGAAACTATTCATTATCGGTCAAAACGGCTTACATGTCCCTACGTCAACTTTTGATTCACTATCTACCGAAATTACATTGAAACAAATACAGGATGGTTCAAGATTCAGAAATCTGATCACCCTGTATCTGTTCCCATTAAATACCAATAGATAGTAGATCAAGAGTTAAGATAGGGACATGGAAGCCGTTTCGACCGATGATGAATAGTTTCGACACAAAAAAATCCTAAAGTTGAAAAATCTCGATTTTGAACACCCAATATCTCAGTAATCATTCTTGCTAGAATTGATGAAATCAGCTTTTCAGAGGGAATCTGAAAATCCAATTGAATACAGGGTGTTCTATTTAAAATAAGGAAGTTGATAATAATTCCGGAATAACTGAAAAAGTGGCAACATCGACGATAACATTTTCAAATCCACCATACGTTTTGAAATCACCTTGTACATATATTCAAAGAAATCTATCAAATGGTTACCGAGATATTCACCTGGTTCCATACTTTTGCCCAACTCTGTATATAAGATAACAAAATATCAATCGATATTTGATCGAACATAATACGGATTTCCTTTCATGCGCTCCAAGAGAGAAAAAAAAACTTTTCATAATTCTAACCGGAAACCACACCTATTTTTGTATATTTGAATGGGACAACCTATATATTATTATTCATTGCTGATTTCGATGAAGGTCTCACGTAGGTATATTCTAACATTTTCAAGAGAAGTTTGAATGAATCTTATGCTGTACAGTGCTGTATATATTTTATGCTAATAAAATACCTACTAGCCACCAGCTCTTCATAACAAAACCAATATAATTTTCAGAAAGGAATTGAATATACAGAGAAGTGCATAAAAAACGGCCAGCAGTGTTGTAACTTCTGAATCATTCAAAGTCTGATTTTGAAATTCGGTGGGTAGCAATAAGTTATCTCTTATTGACATTTATTTTATCACTTTCGACTCGACCGGAAGCAACCCCAACTTTCAATTCTCAAATAGAACACCATACACAGTGTGTTGCAAAATTCGACCGACAACGCTTGACAGGTGATAGCCCTCGTGATATCATAATCAGAAATTACAATACGACTGGCCGGACATCTAATTTAATTTATATCCATATATTACTTACGTACAGTCGTCTTCAACGAACATGTCGCAGTTGGACGGTATGAGCGCTCTTATTGCAGCGGTGATCAAGGGAGCTGACACCGTCCATGTGCGACATGATCTCTGAAGACGACTGTACTTTCAAGATCCTTCATTCAATCGATACTATCATTGATGACAATTAAAATTTGTTGTCGTTTCGCCGGAAGTTGAAAACTGTTGTGTCATCTGTGAACAAACAAAAAAGTTATACAGGGTGTCTGTAAAAGGTCTTTAGAAAAACATACCACATATTCCCTAGACCAAAATAAGTCGATTTAAGTAAAATTACCTCAGTACAAAGTTGCATCGTTTGGGCTCCAGAGGGCCTTGAAGTTACAATTTTTGAATCGATTTTTCCATATAAATTTGAAACGGCATATGCGATTTTGCTGAAATTTGGTATATTGATAGAGTTTTATGAGGCAAAAAAAATGCTGTTAAAATCTTGTCCGATAATGATACATAGGCGTAGAACTTGATTTTTTAAATAATTGCACCTTAAAAATTTCTACGCCAATGGTAGAAAGGGATTTTGAGTATGAAATTTAGATTGCGCAACTCATTTACTTTAAAAAAGGTACTCTTAAGACTGGATTGCTCTCATGGTTTTGACGAAATTAGCATTTTAGTAATTTTAGAACATAAACAATAATTATTAAAATACAAACTTTATCAAAACCATGGGATTAAATCGAGTGTTATCAAGGGTAATTTTTTGTAGTAAATGAGTACCCAATCCAAATTTCATAGTCAAACCCCTTTTCTGCCATAGGCGTAGAACTTGATTTATTAAATAATTGCACCTTTGAAAATTCTACGCCAATGGCAGAAAAGGGGTCTGAGTATGAAATTCGGATTGGGTACTCATTTACTACAAAAAAGTTCCATTGATAACACTCGATTTACTCTCATGGTTTTGACAAAGTTTGTGTTTTAATAATTATTGTTTATGTTCAAAAATTACTAAAATGCAAATTTCGCCAAAACCATGAGAGCAATTGAGTCATATCAAGAGTACCTTTTTTAAAGTAAATGAGTTGCGCAATCTAAATTTCATACTCAAACTCTATTTCATCCATGGGCGTAGAATTTTTGAAGGTGCAATTATTTAAAAAATCAAGTTCTACGTCTATGTATTATTATCGGTCAAAATTTCAACACCATTTGTTTCGTCACATAAAACTCTATCAATATACCAAATTTCAGCAAAATTGCATATGCCGTTTTTTTATATGGGAAAAACGATTTGAAAATTGTAACTTCAAGGCCGTCTGGAGCCCAAACGAGGCAAACTTTGTACTAAGGTAATTTCACTTGAATCGACTCATTTTGGTCTAGGGAATATGTGGTATGTTTTTGTAAAGACCTTTTACAGACACCCTATATAGGGGCGGATCACCCATCAAATCGGGGAATTTGTCATTGTCAAATTTGAGAAGTAAGTTCAGTGTTGTGCCCATGTTGTGCCAAATCTGAAGTGTATTATGTAGATATATTCGGCAATGTTTTCAAATTTTAGCCAGAAATCATCTCCGTTTGGTTTAGTTCAGTCAGGTAAGTCAATTAACAACTCAGTGGCAATTTTGATTGGTACCTACCTACCTATACCAGGATTAATTTATAGATTGATCTCCATAAATTGAAAGTATGGGTAGGTATAGGTACCTAATCAATAGACTGAATTATAATAATATATAATAAGAAGATGGAAATGGATATTATTTATATTTTCCATTCATGAAAAGGTTTTTGTCATGGAAAATGTAAAGACTCTGGAAAAATTCAGGAGCCGAAAGGTCCGAAGATCATTACCGATTTGCCTGGACCGAAAACAAAGGAACTCATCGAAAAATTGAAACCATTCCAAGTAAGCACTAGAATCAATAAGTACATGAAAGATGAAAGTATCACCATTACCTATGATGATATCCAACTCAATAAATAAGAATACGAAGTGAAATTAAGATATAAACAAACACCAATAGTTATTATTGAATATTCCCAAAATATTAGATTTTTTTCGAGTCCAATATGATAAGACAAATCTTGTCTTGGAACTTGAACACAAAATATGGAAAAAAAATCGAGCATGCCCCTTCAAATATTATTTATTCAATAATTCATAAATTCTCAATTATGTATTGGTCCTATTCCTAATTAGCAATAATATATCAATTGTCTCAAAATTGTTCCGTATGATTATTTGTGGCTTATTGCTTATACATTTGTGTAAATGATAATTAAATTAATTCACACTAGAGGACATTTGAAGCAGTAAACGTGATAACACGGCGCACGAATTGAGGGCGTGGTCTTGTCAGTCCTCAGCATTCAGCACAATGTTGCCAAGTCTCCAACATTCACCTGATATTTTGTTATGGAGTATAAGACATATTTGGACACACTGATTGCTCGAAAAATTCACGAATGTACTATATCATGGGTTCCTCCTATTATATTTTATTCAACGACAGGACTCGTAACATCTTTTTGATAACTTGATTATGAATGGTGACTTGACAACCTTGCTTCGTGAGTTGGAATGGAAGATTATCTGACCAATAACGAAACAGCATAAAAACTGACGTCATTATTCGTTCGACGTATCGCCAAATGGCGGCCATGACGGTATGGTTGAAATGAGCTCTGAAATTCAACAATTTTTAACAACGCATAGATTCATTATTTACATTGAAAGAACGTGGAATTGTTGCAAAAATTAATTAAGGTCCCTATAACGACACAGTGGAGTAATTGAATGCCTATAAATCATTATCAGTTCGCTCGCCCATTGTCTAACACATAATTTAGAATATTTCCAGTATACAACTTTTCGCACAATATGGAAAATCTATCGGAAATTACTTGCAAGATGTCGATGGAAACGTACTTTTAGACCTCAATATGCAACTGGCCACTAATCCTCTTGGATATAATAGTACCGAACTTATGAAAGTCTATCAGGATCCAGCAAATATCGTGAGTATAAAATTATGATAAAGTTGATTGATTGATTGAAAACAAAAAATATCAACATAGGTATCTTTACCATCCCATTCAAGAACTCTTCAAAGCAGTACATATACAGTATGATGCAAATGTATGGAATAAATTCATTATTTCAGAAATGGGCGACTTTTTAAAAAATTCCGAAAACACGTGAGGTTTCATTTTTGAAGCCTCATCTCATGATATCCATATGAGAGATGTTACGTCACCGGTGTTGGAGTAATGACGTAATGATTTCAAATGAAAACAGGGGTCATGTGACACCTCGTTTGAAAGGTCTACTGATCGTCTATTCAACAGTCAACATTTTGCATAAGAAAATTGAAATCAAAATGGCTTATCATTTTATTAACTGAATCTTGCAGAGGTCTGCTACTGAGAATTGAACAACGAAGGGTCGTCTATTTAAAAAAATAAATCAATTAGTAAAGTTCTGAAGTCTAGTTTCTGGATTTTTTCGGAAGTCGTCTTGTTTTGAAATGAATTTATTCCATACATTTGCATCATACTGTATATCAACTGAACGTTTTAATATAATAAAATTAGCAGGTAGGTAGGAACTGTGGTTCTTTTAATAAATCAACAAGAACCAAATAAATTCATGAAACTTGATTTCAGCAAACCATAATTAATCGACCAATTCTGGAAATGTTTCCATGCGATTGTTGGCCAAGCAGAATAGAAAATATGGTTAAAAAGGTAAGAATAATGGCAGATACCCTTTCCCAACTAGATAAGCAATCCTTTGATTGACCAAAAACTTGTCCACCCAGTATAAGAATTACATCCAAACATAGTCCTCAACCAGATCTATTACTTAGGAAATCAATGAATGCACCTTATTTCAACTATTTTCCGTTCATTTCAATCAACAATTCAATTTTCATTGACGAGTCAATTTCTATTTCTAGTGAGCAATATCTAATGCCCTAGAAAAATACTGGTTATTTTTTTCTAAATATCAATAACCTAGATACGCATGTTTCCCTTTCAGGTGTCTATGAATCTACCGAACATATCGATGTGTTCTTGTGAATCGACCACAATTGAAAATGCATTCAAATCTATGATGATTTCGTTTCAAAAACATCAGAGAGATGGAAATGAAGCAGTACTAGGTAAGTTGGAATATTCACAAAACAGTAAAAGGATATTTTGGAACTTATTCCAATTGTTTCGCAAATATCTCTATGGAATGTCGTGACTGTTAGCATAATCGGTTATTATAATTATTGGGAAATGAAGTAGAATCTATCGTCAACCGTATTTGAGTCAACATCGAACTCACTACCACCAAAATCAACACTATACAGACTCTCTGATTTGAGGATGAATACAACAATGATTTTGCACTAAAGTGACTCATGATTTCTGGCAATTGAAGTGAACCGGAAGTGGTTTGATTATCGCGAAAGGAAACTTATTTGTCAAATTAAGTCGTAACTTTCACAAGAGTGAACGATTCGAAATTTGGTCACCCAGTATATTTTGTTATGCTGTAATTCATTATAATATCAACATATAGGGTTTGACCGAAGTGTACCTGAACTTTTTTATTTGAATATTAAATCAAGGGCGGCAAAGCGTTGGAATTCTTTGCCTAAGAAAGTAGCCCCAAGAACTTATAAGCTGAAACAAATTTTCTCTCCCGATCTTCCCTAGGTACGCAAGATGTTTCTGGAACATAATAGGGATCCCGTTCCGTGTTCTCCATAAGATAAAATGAACTTGTTCATAATAATATATCATATAATAATGTCCTACTTTAATAATAATAATAATAATATTGATTTATTTATTTCATGAAATAACATGAATAATCAGACAGTTATTAAATTGAATTATAGTTATTGAAATAGACAACAGATTAAAAAAAAATAATAAAACAAAAAGCTCATGAAAAGATTTTCTGTTAGGATATGTTTCTTGTCTTCAATTTTCAATTGGGTGATATTTGTGCAACTTTTGATATCATAAGGTAATTTATTGAATTTTGAGATAGCTCCGTGAGTGAACTTTCTTTGACCTAGAATTAGCAGCATCAAGATGAAACAAGTTATATTGTCTAGTATGATGTTCTTAGATTTGAGAATTCCTTACCAATATGGAGTTAGATATGAGGTGTTTGTTGATAATATCAAAAGAAATTTTGAGAGTATTTATCAGATAGTACTCTTCCAAAGAAAATGTATTTGTTTCTTCATAAAGTTGATTTGATGGGGTGTCATATGGAAGATGATACCGTACTTTTAATGCTTCTTCATTTAGTACAGATATTTTGTTTAAATCGTTCTTGGAACATGAACCCCAAATATTTATGAGATAGTTTATTTCAGAGATTAACCTTCGTCACCAAATTTTGAATCATTTGCTCAAGCGGTTGATTATTATTATGCCAGTTCATTTGAAAAGCTCAACATGCTCAAAAAACCATGAAGATCACGTAATCTGACATCACTGAATTGATTTTTATGATCTAATAGGAGCATTCATCTCTTGCTCAACTCAAACAACAAAGCAGTGGCACAAATCATTTCTGAACATTAGCCTGATCTGCGTAATTTCCACATTTGTTTTGATTTGGTTTGATTGAAAGTTTCGATCGTTGATGTTGATAGAGAGAAAAAAATAAGTTATTAAAATAATAAAGCCGTTTGCATTATTTGAGGATAATGTCCCAATTCGCGTCTATGATCTCGGCAATGTTAACGAATCTATACTCTTTTTGCCATATTTATACATTATTGTGGCACTTTTCGCCATTTTATTTGTTTTTATTTGTCATCCAACTTGATCAATCTGATTTGAATAAATACAAAAAGCTCAGTAATATCCACACAAGGTTCATAAAATGAACAACAATGGTAGATTTCGGGAGAAAAACAACTACTTTCCTGGCTAATGCCACGCAGAATATTGAATTACATCCTCCCGAAATCTATGCATCGACTCGTATAAACGAAAACTGATACAAGTGAATCTTTCCTGAAATGCCTCCAGTCTCCAGCCAGCAGTTCTAAGACCGCCGACTAAGCGAAGACTAGCCAAACAAAAATCAAGTCGGAATTATATTCCCCCAGAGGCGTCTTTCATAGACAATATGAAAGCAACGTCATCTGAGTAGAGACGAAGGAAAAAAACACTCCAAAACATATTCCCATGCGGAAGTGGCTGGTTGCCCGACTGGCATAATTTCAACTACGAAATAGCCAACCAGCCACTTCCGTATGAGAATATCAGTTTTGGAGTGTTTTTTTCGTCGTTTCTACTCAGATGGCGTTGCTTTCATATTGTCTATGAAGGACGTCTCTGGGGGAATATAATGCCGACTTGATTTTTGTTCGGCTAGCAGTCTTCCTTGACGTTTCGAAAGCATTCGACAGGGTCTGGCACGACGGACTACTGACCAAAATGGCAGACTACGGGTACCCGATATCTATGGTAAAGCTAATATCCTCCTTCCTGCGGGGGAGGCGATGCCAATGTAAAGTTGGCAACGAAATCTCTGCAGAGAGGGAGCTAGAAGCAGGAGTACCGCAAGATGCGGTCTTTTCACCACTACTTTTCTCCATTTTTACCGCAGATATCCCTAAACCCGCGAACAACTTCAACAAACTCGCACTATACGCCGTCGACACAGCCATAATTGCCAGATCCAGCAACTCAGACATGACAGTACGATACCTACAAACTAGAAACCTGGTTCAACAACTGGAAAATAGAAACTAACGCAGAGAAAAGCAAGCTGTTCTCTTCATAAGACGACGTACCAAACCCACAGGACACGTAATACTAAACGACACACAGATACAATGGGCAGACGAGGCAAAATATCTAGGGGTAACCCTAGATAACGAACTCACATTCAGACAACACATCACAACACGACTAAACCTGGGTAAAGCCGCAAGGCAAAACCTACAGCCTCTAATAGGTCGCAGAAGCAACATGGCCCTAGAGTTGAAGCTGCGCCTAATAAGAACCATTCTACTTCCAATAATTTTGTATGCATCAAGTGCATGGGGCTAAGAAACATACAAAACATACAAAAAGCGAATACAGGCATTTGTAAATGTCTCAATAAGAATGGCAGTAAACGCCCCATGGTATATCCCAAATAGATTCATCTATAGGGACCTGAACATAAACCCAGACTACATAGACAACTACATAAGACAACATGCGGAGACTACATTCGGAAGAACGGACACCTAACCTGACTAATAGACAACTAAATCAAGACCCGCGCTTCGGATGAATAAAGTACAGGCGCCCAATCCACCAAATATAAGATAAACGAACGAAATTAAATCAATATCAATAAATTTGCATAATAATCATCAGATAATTAAACAGAAGAGTCTCTCCTTTGATACCCTATAAAAAAGTAAACCAATAATAATAATACATAAACTCAAATTTGCTTCCCATATAGGGTAGGGAACCACCACGCAAAGTCAGGCTTGGAAACACACATTAGACAAAAAGGTTTAAAAGTCGGAAGACTGAAACCAAGCAAGGTTTTTTTTTATAAAACATAATATGCAGATTGCCAAATGCATGAGGTTCAAGTCCACTCGTTAGTTAGTGGGGGTGGATGGACATGGGGATGAGGAGCTATCATATAACGTAAGCTAGTTATATGGCGGCACTTGATCCTGGGCAGGGATCCACTCAGTCCCGTGGGTACATTCAATATACTGATATGACACATCTTGAATGTTTTCAGGGTCCGGTTGTCCGAAACTATCTATATTATCCTTCAGGAACTCCGACCACGGACACACTATGGGAGCATTATCTGCATCCAATGCTATATCTAGTGCTATCTTCAAGCAAGACGTTCCGTGTTTTGATTGGCCAGTGGCGCACTATCCCTGCTACCGGTATCCCTTGGGCGAATGCGAATGTTACAACGCATACCAGGATGAGAAAAGTTTGGACATGGTGAAGGATCTCATCAAAAAATGGGACGATAAAGGTAATAATCAATGATCTAATAGTATTAAACTACTACACCGTTACCATCATGCAGTTGTATTTCAGAAAGCATCGATATTGAATTTCAGAATAGTCAATTGGATTTCAGAAAGCGTCAATTAAATTTCAGAATATAGACTGGCCAGTAATGACAGATTTTTTGCAACGTTTTTTTAATGCCGGCAACTTTCGAATAATGATTTTTCTTTCTTTGACGGGTTGTCACTTTTCATAAATTACTTAATTCCCACGGGAAAAAAAGTGACCCTATATCTCGAAAACGACGCGATTAAAAGTATATGTTCATATGAAGTTTTTTTATTATTTCAACGAGTACAACACACTGTTGAATTTTTTGTATTACAAACCGGACCACCCTGTATACCGAAAATATCACAGTCGTCACGATTATGGAATATAATAGGAAATAATCTGATTTTGTTTCTATTACAGGTATGCCTGTAGTTGGAATCGTAGTCGAACCAATTCAAAGTCAATGCACGCAGTGTCCTTCCTCCAAGTTTTTCCAAAATCTCCAAGAACTCACCAACAAAATAGGAATTTACCTAATGTTCGACGAAACCAGGACCGGTTGTGGTTCAACTGGGAAATTTTGGTGCATTGAAAACTACTGCTTAAAATGTCCAGTGGATATATTGGCGTTTGGAGGGAAAACTCAAATTTCTGGATTTCTACATACTGAAGATTTGAAGTAAGTATGAGAGATCTGAAGTAAGTATGTGACAACGAGAAGAAACGTTTTTTTTCTACAAACGTCAAAGAATGACAAGGTTCGCGCATTGATAACAAACTGCGAAGTGACACTTTTTTTCAGTTTCCTAAGTTACCATGATACCTTGCACATAACAATGCGCGAAGTAAAACAGTGCGCGAAGTACCTACTTCGCGCATTGTAATGTAAAATTAATGAGATATTTATATTTCAACTATATGGTCCTCAATCGATCAAACATCCATGAAATCATTTATTTCTGAATGTTCAACAATAACTTTGTTTTATCTCTTGAGCGCACGAAAGGAAATTCGTATTATGTTCGTGAAACATCGTGCGTACCTAGGGAGGATAGGGGGAGGCCTTTAAAACCAGTTCAACACTATTTTTTATATCTAGCTAAGCATATTTTTACTTAAGAACTATATTTCTTGACGTTTGTAGAAAAAATGTTGTTTGCAACTCGAGCGCGAAATACTTTGGTCATCTCGACTATTTTTTTAACTCGGCTACGCCTCGTTGAAAAAATCAGATCTCGATCACCAAAGTAACATTTCGCGCTCTAGATACAAAAATAACTATTTTTTTCATATACCTATACTAGGTACCACAAGTAGAACTATTCCGCCAGAAATATCGGCGATTTTTACAAAAGTTTCTTAGTGGATTTGAAGTTTTTGTATATTTAACATCAGTTCGGACACTCGACAGACAGTGTTAGTCAGACCGTGTAACACATGACTTTTGAAGCATATCATATATTTTTTGCGAAACAAGAACCCGAATATGGTCACCCAGGATTCTTCCCTCTTTTTTATTAGAAAATCTCGAACTTTTGGAAAGTTCTACTCTGTATTTTCAATTTTCAACTATCATTTATCTAACATTCTTTTGAAATCAATTTCTTTTCCGGCAATAGTTTCTCGTCCTATTTCTGTTCTAAATCGGTTGGGCTTTCCCAATATTTTCCTGTTAATATATTTCAGGTTCGGAAACAATTGATTACCCACCCCATAAATTTCACTAGCTGAAACCATAATTTACGCCGGCTGCTTCATGCTTCCTCTTCATTCCTGTCATATTGACCTATTTGATGAAAATTATTGTTTGACAGCAGAGAATATATGCAGTTGGAAACTACACAAACTTGCATCTTGACATGTTTCCCAATTTGTTCTCAACTCGATCCACCTTTGAAATTATTGATCATTGTAGAATTATGTCATTTGACAGGTCGTTGGAGGGCACACATTGTATTTTGTCATATGAAACCAGAACACAGAATACTTCCAGAAGTAGTTGGATTGTTTTCATTCTAACCCGAGTTGAAACCCAAATGAATTTCATGATTTTATTTGGTGAATCATTAAGTGTATTTTGGATGTGGCCAGGGCTATGCTTATCAAAGGTAACTTAACAGATAATTTGTGTGCCCTCCAAGAAACCGTGTCAAAATCACGTGTTATAGAATGGTCAATTATCATGTATGTTTATGTACTGTCAGTTCCTGCTTTTTTCATCAATTTATTTCTTTGTGGTTAGGTCAGGTTAGGTCACCGACTTATTACTCTATCTAGATTGCTAGTAATCATTTCGTAGGTACCTGAACATGTAGGGTCAGTTGCTCGCCTGAAAACGCTTCTGCTCAATACGCAGGAACCCCCAAAATGACTTTGACGTGGTATTGAAATCAACCTAGCATCCATTTTGTTCATAGGTGGGACAAGGTGAATAGCGTCAGCTTAATTGTTTTGTTTATGTCATCAGGGGTCGGCTAAAGAAAAATAATATCAAAATTGAGTGGTGATATTAATTTTTCTCGTTTGAATTTCGAAAATCCTAGGGAATATGAAGTGCTTTGTTCTTTGGTGTGAGAATTCCACGATTGATAATACTAAAGGTGTTTCATTTCATCGGTGAGTTTGTGGGTAATGAATAATTCATTATTTCAATTTGCTTTCATAGAATCACGCACGTTTTTCATACAGGGTGTCCCATTGGGAAACGGAAAAACTTCAACGGTGGGTAGAGCTCATCGTGGTGGTTCTGAATATACCATAATTGTAGGATCTCACAAGTTTTGTATCCGAGATATAGGGTGTTTTATCAATTTTGCCTAATTCTTTGTGAGGACATATTTCTTTTGCAATTTGGTACACAATTCCTTCTTTTTCTACCAAAGCGACTCACTCATCAGTCACGAAAAAAGTCCAGGTCCGGATTAACAAAAGTTGATAATATTTCTGGACACCAAAAAGAACACCCTGTATTTTGGAATTCTCAAAATCCGCTTACATATTTGGAAAGTGCATTGAAAGCTGAACCGAATGGTATTCCACTAAGGAATTCTGATTTTGAATTCGAGATTTTGTGCATTTGGATAGGTAAAAATAATATGTTTTGAGTTTTCCCAATCGAATAACAACAATTATCACGAACCACCAAGTATATTCTTTTGGACTTTGGTACACGAGTTCTCCTTATTCTACCCAAGCGCCTCACCTATCATCCACGAGAAAAATCCAGGTCCGGATTAACAAAAATTGATCAAATTTCTGGACCCCAAAAAAAACATCCTGTATTTTCGAATTCCTAAAATTCGCTTACTTATTTGGAAAGTGCACTAAAAGCTGAACCGAATGGTGTACTTTGCATTTTCCCACATGCAATTTCACAAAGTAATTTCTGATTTTGAATTCGAGGTCTTATGCATTTGGATATAGGTAAAAATTATATGTTTTGAGTTTTCCCAATCGAATAATATTATCACGAACCACCCTGTATATTTTTTTGGAATTTGGTACACGAGTTCTCCTTGATCTACCCAAGTCCCTCACCTATCATTCACGAGAAGAATCCAGGTCGGAATTAACGAGAATCGATTATATTTCTGGGCCCCAAAAAGAACACCCTGTATTTTTGAATTTCCATAACATGCTTACATATTTGAAAATTGCACAAAAAGCTTAATCGGATTGCCTACTTTTTATTTTCATACGAATGCTGTTTCACTACTAAATTTCTGATTTTCAATTTGAGGATTCATGCATTTGGATAGGTAGAAATCGAGGTAAAAATGGAAAGTTTTCAGTTTTCAGAATTAGAAATTAATTAGTGAAAGAGCATGCGGGATATTGAAAAGTACACAATTCGAATCATATCTTTGTGAACTTTCCAAATATGGAATCGGATTTTGGAAATTCGAAAATACTGGGTGTTCTTTTTCGGACCCAGAACTAGATCATAATTTTTCATTAATCTGGACCTGGATTTCCATCCTGACTAATAGGTGAGTCGCTGGGGTAGATGAAGGAGGACTTGTGTACCGAATTCCAAATGAATATACTGGGTGATTCGTGATAGTCTTTGTTAATCGATTGGGAAAACTCAAAACATTTCATTTTTACCTATCCAAATGCATGAAACCTCATATTCAAAATCAGAACTTATCTAGTGAAATAGCATGCGGAAAAATGGAAAGAACATCATACAATTCAGATTTTCATGCACTTTCCAAATATGTGAGCAGATTTTGGAAATTCGAAAATACAGGGTGATATTTTTGGGGTCCAGATATATGATCAGTTTTCGTTGATCCGGTCCTGGATTTTTCTCGTTACTGATAGGTGAGTCGCTTTGGTAGAAGAAGGCGAAATTGAGTACCAAATTCCAAATGAATATACTGGGTGGTTCGTAAGTTATATCCTCACAAAGAATTGAACAAAATTGATAAAACACCCTATATCTCGGATATAAAACTTGCGAGACCCTACCAATATGGTATATTTAGAACCACCTTGATGAGCTCTACCAACTGTTGAAGTTTTTCCGTTTCCCAATGGGACACCCTGTATATTCTTTCAGCTGTGAAGAATTTGAGCTCAGGCGTGAGGTGCCATACCTGTTCATCTATTTTGGACGATATTTCATTAAAAGTTTACTCATTCAATAATGGTTCTAGCATTCCTAAGAATAAGAGAAATGAATGATTTGAGGCTATTAGGAGACCATTATTGGACCTTAGCCACTCAGGAAGGATAATTATGTTCGGACCATTTTACGCCAGACAGTTTTCTGATGCTTCCAGGCAAATCCAGGACATTGAAACCACATGCAAATTTGCAGTTTTTTGAAATTTAGTTCTCAAATCTGAGTATTTGGAAGCATGGAAGCTATGAGACCTGAATACGCCATGTTTCATTCGTTTGTCACTACTTTATGTATGGTTTATCAACCTTCCATAGTAGACCAATCCCAATCATTTTCCTACGATACGCCTATATTCCTCGGATTCATGATTGTAACATGACAGTTCCTAAATGCTCATGACTCAGTTTCACCAGTTCGATCTCCAGAGTGGCTCATTTTTTCCCCTATAGAGCTGGCGGTCTAGATTAGTCTATAAGTCGGTGGTCAGAGTATCGCGCTCTGAACAAAAAAAAAACGCTGAGGTCCTGTTAAAAAACTCTAATTACGATAGCATTTGGCTCATTGATTTTGGCACACCCTGTTAAACAGAGGTGTTTCCTTGTGACATTTTAGCAAATAAAGTTCATATAAACATGTGTCCTAACTTGCTTAGTTTTGGAGATACAGGATGTTGAAGTTGGAAGTATAAGTTGTTTTTATTTATGTATTTAACCCCCTTGTATAAGCTTTAATGATGCCAATATTCAGTATGGATGGAGACTGAAAAAGCCACAAAATTTCAAAATGATTCTAATTGGGGCTATGGAGTAATCTCACTGGAAGTCTTGAAAACACCTACATTAAAATTTGGAGTCAAATCGAATTTTTATTGATTCCTCAAAAACTAAGCTAGATACAAAAATCACACAGAGGATGAAAAAGTTGTTATCACAATAGTTCAATCCAATAAAAATATGAAACTCAGAATAACCGGTGGTGTACAATGACAATCACCATGAATATCGATAATTTTACCCACTGTGACGCCACTGGAAATATTATTTTGAATCTAATTGCACTAGAAAAAGCTCTATATTACTATCAACAAAACCACAACGATTTATTGAAATTGATGGAAAGACAATGGGAGTGTACACCTTAGTAGAACTTTTAACTCAAACCATGTTTATAATGATCCTTTTATACATAAATAATGATTGACGACATAATTCGATCGAAAAATTAACTGGAATGTTTTATTTTTGGACATAAATAATAGTACCTTCTGAAAACGGACCCTCTTTTATGACGTAGAAACCTCTTCTCGCCATAGTTAAAAGAAAATATCAAACGCCCGACGGAGACTGAGGCAACTGATATATTAATTCTTTCAACTGTGATCTCGCGCTAATTCACTCTGTCAGAAATCATGTATCATTCATCTCTGTCTGGAATAGTCTTGTTTCAGTATTAGGGTTTTGACGTCACATCATCGCCTCGATTTCAGAGGTCCGAAAAATCGGGGATTTCAAAAATGTTTTATAAAACGTAGGGAGCTCACAGCAAGAAACGGTTTGCGGTGGTGTTAGTTTGGGTGAGTTCTATAATCAAATTTTTTTGTGATATAAGCCCATTGAGACATAAATGGAAAAAATATTTTTCATGAAAATATTAATATCTGTGTGTGTATCTCGAAAACGAAGCAAGCTAGGACACATGATTATGTGAACTTTATTTTCTAAAATATCACAAGAAATCATCCCATGCATTTTTTCGGTGTTATTTAGATACACCGTATAGAGAATAATTGAAATTTACGCATTTGAAATAAATATAACATCTGAAACCTGAAACTAATTTTTAAGTTCGAGGAAACCAAATCATATTATGGATTCATGGATGAGAGATCCTCTCAAACTGATTGCTTTCGAGGCGATTATAGATATAATTGAGAAATTGAATCTACTTGAAACAGTGAGGAACACCGGAAAAAAGCTGAAACAGTGTTTGTTGGATATGGAGTTGGATCACTACGATTTAATTCATTCGACAAGAGGACTGGGCACATTTTTGGCATTCAACGCACAATGTCCAAAGCTCCGCGATGACATATGGAAACGACTAAGGAAAAAAGGTAGATATTTTACTTGTTTCCAACATTCGGTCAAACACAAAAATATACTCAAAATAGTATTCACCGGAAATGGCTCCGGTTTTGAGTTTTTAAATGGATCACCCGGTATATTATCTTTCTTTCCAGAGACTCGTTCATCCAAAGAACATGGCGGGGCTCTGGAACAAATTGCCAAGGGAGGTGTTCCCCAAGGCATATAACATCCAGAAATTCAAGAAGAACACCAATTCCTACCTTATTTTCCTTGGTTCTCACGATGTTCTCTGAACATTACAGGATACCCCTTTTCGTGGGAACCAGATCATAAAAAAAATTCTGAGGCAATTCTGGATCAGAATATTACACTTACAAAAGTTTCTACGCCTGATGCATTATGTTAGTCACTTTTAATATTGCATCTACGTAGCCATGATCGGACGTAAACTTTCAGGTGATATCAGAAAATTATAATCATAAAGTTTTAGTGACTGGTATGATAGTTAGGGAGAAGACATGTTGACGAAAAGTAACTTTTCTGCTCGATTTTTCGATTTGAAATTTGTATACTTCTCCGTACGATTTTACTTTTTTGCACGATTTTTACTTTTCCGCACGATTTTTACTCTTCAGCAAGATAAATCGATAAAATCATTTTTGTATGGTTAAAAATGAGGATACTTAGAATTAACTAAATGCTTTATGTAACTATTCTTTGTTATGTGTGATTTTGTAACAGTATCATGAAATCTTGTTTAGTAAAAACCTTTTCTTCTCGAAGTGGTCAAAAATGTTCTGAAGGAAGAAACAGTATAACACAAAATCATATTGACAAATCATTTGGAGAGAAGTTGTCTTCTTAGGTAACTTTTTCCTCAAAAGTTCATTGTCTATTCGTAATTTCATAATCATTACATGTATGATGGCCGTTGAGCCGAAACTAGTCGCAAACTTGATTTGTTTTTATATTTTTTGTGGTCGACCGACATTGTGTTATACTAACACTTTTCTTTTCATGAATGATATGGACAAAAACACTCGTAGTATTTCGTGTCTAACTATTCTTTAAATGGCAACCATTTTTTGATCCGAAAGAGGGATATTTTGACAAACGATACCGCAATTTTTTTGTAAGTGGATTGAAAATAAGAACTTTCATATTATTAAGGGAAATATTGAATATTTATTCATTCGCATATGTTTTCAAGGTGGCCATGGATAGCCATGGTGCATAATATTTTGCAGTTATTTTTCTCGTGTCTTCTTTGGAAAACAAAACACTCAGTTATCCACTTTTCACTTTGATTATACATTGTCTTGACACAACATTGAATTTCAATTTAGCGAAAATAACTGTCTGCTCATAAGACTTATGTCAGCAGACTCGAATAGTTATTTTTGTATCTAGAGCGCGAAATGCTACTTTGGTGATCGAGATCTGATTTTTTTAACGAGGCGTAGCCGAGTTAGAAAAATAGTCGAGATGACCAAAGTATTTCGCGCTCGAGTTGCAAACAAAATTTTTTCTACAAACGTCAAAAAATATAGTTGTAAAGTGAAAATATGCTTAGCGTGATATGAAAAATAGTGTCGAACTGGCTTAAAAGGTCTCTCCCTATCCTCCCTAGGTACGTACGATGTTCCACGAACATAATAAGAATTTCCTTTCGTGCGCTCCAAGAGAAAATACAAAGTTATAGTTGAACAATCAGAAATAAATGATTTTGTGGATGTCTGCTCAATTGAGGACCATAAAGTTGAAATACAAATATCTAATATATTTTACATAACAATGCGCGAAGTAGGTACTTCGCGCACTGTTTTACTTCGCGCATTGTTTTGTGCAAGCGCAAGGAATCATGGTAACGTAGGAAACTGAAAAAAAGTGTCACTTCGCAATTTGTTATCAATGCGCAAACCTTGTCATTTTTTGACGTTTGTAGAAAAAAATTTTTTTTTGAAGTATAAACCCAGATAGCACATGTCATTCATATAACGTCTATAGAATTATTTATTTATTTATTTATTTCAGTTATTGCATTACATTATCTTCTTCATTGATACATTTCATACAAATGAAATATAAAGTATAATTGATTTTCTAGTAGGAATGACATGAATGATCAGACAGTAATTCCTGGTATAAGATCATTCATGAAGTATTATCGACTGTTTTATGAACAAGAAGGGGAAAAATAAAAACAGTGAAAAAAAAAGGAAATTTATAGTCTTTCAGCTTTGATCATTCCTTTGCATATAAATATATTTCTTCACTTTATGTTTGAATTGCAAGATATTTGGGCTGTTTTTGATATCATCTGGTAATTTATTGAATTTCGAAATCGCCTCATGTGTAAACTTTTTTTGCCCAAGTTTAGAATTTGCAGCTTCAAGATGAAACAAGTTTTATTGTCTAGTGTGATGATCATGAATTTCGGAATTCCTGATTAATATAAAATGAATAATATAAAATAAAATTTCGAGCTTTTTGTTGATGATATAATAGGACATTTCGAGAGTATTGATTAAAAAGTGCTCTTCCAAAGAAAATATGTTTGTTTTCTTATACAGTTGATTCATTGGAGTATCATATGGAAGACGATACTTTCAATACTTTCAATGCCTTTTTATATAGAACAGAAATTTTGTTGAAACTATTTTTGGAACAAGATCCCCAAATATTTATGAGATAGTTAATTCGACTGAGCATATGTGAATATTTGATGTATATGTACTAAGTTTAGGACATCTTCTCAAAGCACCAATAATGGGAGATACTTTTCCTATGAGGATGTCAATATGCTTACCCCATGTTAATTTCTCATCAATCCAAATACCAAGGTATTTGGTATGGGCAGTTTGTTTCAAACGTTCATTTTTTATTCTAATATTCAGATCAATATTTTGTTTATTTCTTTGGCGAAAAATTATATATTGAGTCTTATTAGAATTAAGAGAAAGAAGATTGGAATAAAGCCATTTCTCAATTTTGATATGTTCTAGAACTACTGGGTTTTTATTCTCATATAGAAGCACTGTATCGTGGACCCAACACTGATCCTTGAGGAACCCCTTTGTTCAAATATAGTATCTCAGACTCACAGTTATTAATTTTAGTTATAATAGTTCTATTTTCAAGATATGATTTCAAGAGATCGTGTCCAATTCCTCTGGTTCCCATTGAAGCAAGGTTTTTCAGAAGTATATTGTGGTCAACTGTATCAAAAGCCTTTTTTAGATCCATGAAAATCGCTACTACATAATTTCCTTTGTCAAGTATGTCCTGAATGAAATTGATTACTTGTAGCACTGCTGATTTGTACCACTGTTTTCTTGAAATCCGAATTGGTTCAAATCGAATCCATATTTTTTATTGATAAAATCTACAATTCTTTTTTTGAGAATTTTTTCTAGAATTTTGGAGAAAATACTTATAATAATGCTATTGGCCTATAATTTACTGGACACCACTTTTATATATAAAGCCCGTAAAGAGGTATTTTTCAATTCATCTGGAAAAATACCTGTTGTGAAAGATATATTGATTAATTTTGTTAGTGGTTTGGCCAAAATATGTTTCGATTCTATTATATCTCGTGTAATCAAACCTTCGGGATCAGGACATTTTTTTTAAGAGAAATATTTATGAAAAACCTGGTTTGAATGGAGATGCGAACCTATAGTATCTTGTGATTGAATTCTTAAACCTTACCATTTCGCCATAAACCTTATTGATAAGTTAAATGAATAGCAAGATGACAACACTGTATTATTGAGTTTTTTTTATTCATTTATTGATTTATTTATTTATGTCTGGTTCCCACGGAAAGGGATATCCTGTAATGTTCAGAGATCATCGTGAGAACCAAGGAAGGAATTGGTGTTCTTCTCAAATTTCTGGAGGTTATATGCCTCGGGGAAGACCTCCCTTGGCAATGTGTTCCAGAGCCTCGCTGTTATAGAATAATATAAGTTGTGTCGAGAGAATTCCTAATATTCTGAGAATATGTCGAATAGAATGTTCATAGAATGTTGTTCGCAGAATGAGAATATTCTATATATGATCATTCTGAGAACATTTTATTAGAATATTCATAGAATATTCTGTGCTGTCTGGAAATTTAATTAATCTAAACTGATAAAGAAAACGTTGAAGATATTGACTTTTTGTTATGAAGTAATTCTTGTTGAAAAAATGTGTCTATGTCGTTTGCGTTTAAAAATACCTATCCAATTTTTTTCATTCAATCAGATTGTTTATGTTTTTATAGGTATATTATGTGGAAAATGTGGAGAGGATGGTATAACAATACGACCATCGCTGACATTCAATGATAATCATGCGAATATATTTCTTGATAAATTGGAAGAAGTGATAAAAGAAACCGAATTGGCCAAACCAAATGAGAAGGACCAGCCCAAGAAATCTCTCAGTAATCCAAAATGCGAAACTTCACAAAAGCCAAAAGTACTCAAAGAACAGAAAAACAACATTGAACCGAAAAAATCCATTTGCGACTATTCGAAGAAAAATATGTCAAAGGAAACAGTGAAACAAGAAGAGATAGCTCACATAAATGATGTACCGATAAAAAGTAAACAAACAATGTCTAATATAAGGTGTGGCGTTGATAGTACAACAAAGGATGGCAAAATGCATCATAAAGAAGGTACCGACAGTGATGGCCAATGCAAAAAGAAAATCAGAAAATGGAAGGGAAGTAGCCATACAAATAAAAAAAAGCGTGTATGTCCTAAAAGTTGGGCCAAAAAGAAAACTGATTAGAAATCTCTAACCAGGTGGTGACAAAAATATTACTGAAAATATTCTATTTTATTTTAATAAATGTCATTGTTTTTGGAGTTTCCCCCACTTTATTGATCACCAAGAGACAGTTTTCATCATATTTTTATTATGATCGAAAATTGAATTCGATATTTTCAATGGTCAGAAACGAACATAAATTTATGACTATAAAATTACAAATATCAGTTGCATAGAAAACAGGGACCACAAGTATCAAAATTCACATATACAGTGTGACCCACTTCTAATGGAAACACCCCTGTATCTTACGTAATCGTTGGGTTAGGATCCTGTTTGCTGGAGCGAGAGATATACCAAAAATGCACTCTATGATCAAGTGGGGTCATCTTCAGTGGTATACACTGCTCGCCAACAGCCATGAAACTACCCCAATTTCCGGAAAATGATATTAGGAGTCAAAATAGGTCGAAAATCACTTCAGATTCAGAATCCAGACGCCCAATTCATTATATATTCAAATTTTTCCTAGAAAATTTTCAGTTCTGAAAAATAATATTTTGTCGCACTTTTTATGGAAGTACCCCCGTATCTCACGTAATGGACTTTCTCTTCCTCCTGCAAATTTCAGAACCCTACCTCAACAATTACGTGAGATACGGGGGTTCTTCCATGAGGAGTGAGAAAAAATTTAATTTTTCTGAACTGAAAATCTTCTAGGAAAACTTTAAATAGTTAGTAACTTGGGTGTCCTGATACCAAATCCGAAGTGATTCTCAACCAATTTTGACTCCTAATATCATTTTCCGGAAATTGAGGTGGTTTCATGGCTGTTGGCGAGCAGTCTATATCACTGAAGATGACCCCAGTTGGTCATAGAGTGCATTTTTGGTATATCTCTCGCTCCAGCAAATAAAAAAATAAAAATCTAATTCCGAATTTTTGAGTTTAAAATATCAAAAGTTTCTATTCGGAAAATGTCGTCCTCCATATTTTTAATTTTCCCCGTTCGTCCTCTGGTATTGTCTTTCCTTGTATACGGAAATGTCCGCAAGCAATCTATACATATAGGAGTGGGTGATAATTTCTGTCGGTTACTCCACCGAAAAGATACATACAATATTACAATAATGAAGATGATGGAAAGCCCCAATTTCGAGTGACAACGGAAAATGAAAAAACTCCACCGCCCCCGTGTGAGAGTCGAACTCACAACCTCTGGGTTACATGCCCAACGCTCCGCCAATTGAGTATATAAAAAATAGAACGAATAGTGAAAATGAACAACAATAATACAAAACAAACTGTTATGTAACAGAGGTATACAGGCTGATTTTAAAATGAGTGCATATATTCAAGACATATATATGAGAGAGTCTAACAAAAATTACTAAAATATTTGATTTTTCCTAAGTCTTCACATTAACGAGTAATTTCATTTTGAAAATTGAACATAAAATGCTTCGAAATTCGAGTACGCCACTGGGAAGCAAGTGAAATCTGCGGAATCCTAGGGAATCCACAATTCGTCATTCACTAAAGTCAAAACAAGACAGTGATGCCAGATTGTTTCAGAGACGATTATCCTGATAAAAATTTGTCACAGAATGAATATGAATTGGAATAGGTTATGGAATCTAATAGAGGTGAATGTAATATGTACAGGAGCCTTATTTTTCTCAAGTTTACTGAGAGAACTGTGGGGTGATTATCTCCATGGATCACGAGAGACTGAGAGAAACATGAGGGGAATGATAAAACGTCCCCCTTCCTTCAATTCGAAAATAAGGCCCCAGCGGGTAGATACAAAATAAGCAGACAATAAATAGGTACACATCAACATACACAAAGTTGAAAATCGACTCACCTAGTAGATTTTCTCATACCTGCTCGAACAGCAAAACTCCCGAGAGCAAACAAATACTAATATCGAGTCCATTCCAGACTAATATCGTCCTGTGTTCTTGTTGGTTCATATTCGCACCTAAACCATCGAAAACGACTCGACGACGACATATCCTTCCTGGCAATCTCACATTGAAAATCCCGTCACGACCATATCACGATTATCACGACACAAGACACAACATCCAATTATTTTTTTTTATTTTACGTTTACAATTATTTTACAAACCAGCAACCACACAAACAAAACTATTATCATATGATCTGTCAACATCATTTCTCAGAACAGTAGTATCTATGACCATAGATTTCCTCTTTGCTGTGACCTTTGACAGTACTAACTAGGATTGTTCGCGTTCAGAAAATAAACAATCCGAAACCGTCAGAAGCATGCACAAGTCCACAGAACCCAAAAAATCATACAGTTCTGTGCGGGGCCCATGAGACTTCTCGAAGGATACGAAATTGTAGCGATGCAAGGAGGTGAAAGGAAGGGTCTAAAGGATTTTTCAGTAAAAGAACTTCCAACCGTGAGGTGTTAAGTTATACGCTATTCGAGCTTATGTGTAGATATCTTGGGTGAGTCCATTTTAAAGTTTTTGTATTATCTTTCTGAAATTCAAGACCACGGTTAACTTCTTCCCCATGTACATTTTCTCGATTATACATTTTATTTAATATCTCCTAATTTTCATGTAGAGTGGCAACGTCGCTTCGTTTATCACGGTCGACTGCGGATCGCAAACGATAGTTGTGACAGAAGAAGAAATCTGGGCGGAAGAAGGGTATTTTGCCCCAAATCTATTTTGGTCCTAATAATATTTTTAATAGTGCTATTCGGTAGTATACCTCAAGCTTTCTTAGTGTATAAAATATATGCACTTATTTTAAAATCAGCCTGTATATATATAAAAAAATTGAATTTGATCTGAATCAGATAAAGTATTGTCCTTTTTTGGTTTATACATATCATTAGTACCTATATGTACACTCGTCTTCAGTGAACATGTCGCACATGTTACAATTGTACAGTCGTATTAAAAAAAGCGTACAAGTATATTGGTGGGAGAATAATTACCGTCATCCTATTTGCGTGAAACCATGGATTGTTTGAAACTTGAAATAACAGATTTTGAAATCAACTCCGGGGGTTGGGGGGGGGGATAATCAATAATTCAATTTCAATTTTACATTAAGAGTTGGACAACAGTCCTGGAATAGAGATTTACCAATTTTTCAGTACATGTCTGAGGTAGTTTGACGGAATAGTTATTTTTCTGTTATTATGCATTATAATTCATGATACGAAAATAATATAGGTAGGTAACGATGGTGATTTTCTCGAAAAAAAAAAATCTGATTAACAGTTTCCGAGATATTGAACTATTCTAGCACTTTTGCCCAACCCTGTATAGGGTCGATTATTCTATATTTCGCGCACATGCGCAACAATTCGAGACCCTAAATCGATACAGGATCAGTATGTCCTTGCGATTTGTATAGAAAGGATTGGTCGAGTTGGCAAAGTTGCGAGAACAGATATTGGATGAAAATGTTGTCAAAATTGGTTAGAGGTTCAGCCGAAATTTCTAAAATATTTGGTGAGCAACCTATTGAACTGCATGCAAAATTTATTATCCAGGTATCGATGGAGTCGGAGACAAACACGACCTACCGACGAAACTTCGACTTTTGGTGTAAGTTTATTTCGACTCGATTTATTCTCACATGAGATGTACAGTGTGTCCAGTTTTCGATGCTTTTCCCTGATATCTCAGTTATCTTTGGAGATAGAACCTTGCGGTTTTCGCGGTCCTGTACCACTTTTCTGTGAGACTCAAGATGGCCTGATCAGATTTTGCATAACTGTTTGCGTTTATGAGATACAGGGCGATTTTGAGAATATACTTTTTGGACCCCCCTCTATATCTACGAAGTTTATCAGCGAAAATGTCAAATTGGAATCTTATCCCATACAGAATTTTGCGCAGAATTCAGTGGCGCACTCAAATTTTTTTTTCTGGGTATGGTTTCGGAGATACGACTCAAACTTATGATTTTTTAAATGGAACACCCTGTATTTTAAAAGCTCATTAAATTCCTTTATTTTTTCCCCATCAAAATGAAATATGATGAATATGTATGAAATTTTCAAAAATGCTCCAAAATCAATAAAACATTTAATTTCAATAGTGGGCTATGGATTTTTCATTTAAAAAAAGTTCCAATTGAAGAATATTTTAATTAATTCTTCCATGAAAAGGACAAAAACAATCCCAACACTATAGTTAATTAAGATAACACAAAAATTTGGTACCTGATAGCAACAAATGAATGGTAATAAAAAGTTCATATTCTAGAATAAGCACCTGATTTAATATTCACTAAGACAATTGAATTTCGAAATTAATCAGTAACTTATTCATTGAATTGTTCAAATTGATGTCCACTTTCCATACACACAATTGACACATTTCTCAATACGTCTTAATAGCATTAAAATCACTAAATATCTTGAAGAACTTCGTGCAACAACTTGTTGCACGAAGTTCTTCAAGATATTTGTGACTCTTACTGTATCAAGACGTATTGAGAAAATGTGTCAATTGTGTGTTATGGAAAATGGACATCAATTTGAACAATTCAGTGAATAAGTTATTGAATAATTCCGAAATTCAAATGTATTTGTAAATATTTAATCTGGTGCTTATTCTACATACATTATGAACTTTTTATTACTATTTATTTGTTGCTATCAGGTACATAATTTTTGTATTTTCTCAATTAATTAGTGTTGGTATTGTTTTTGTCCTCTTTATGGAAAAATCAAAATGAATATTTCTTCGATTGGAACTTTTTTATAAGAAAAATCCATAGCCCACAATTAAAATTCAATGTTTCAGTGATTTCAGAGCATTATTGAAAATTTCATATACATATATTATGAATCATTTTGAAGAGAAAAAAATTAGGAATTTTATGAGCTTATAAAATACAGGGTGTTCCATTTGAAAGTTCGAGTCGTATCTCCAAAACCATACCCCGAAAAAAAAAATGTTGAGTGCGCTACTGGATTCTGCGTAAACTTTCATATGGGATAAGATTTAAATTTGACATTTTTGCTGAGAAACTTCGTAGATATAGAGGGGGTCCAAAAAGTATAAATTTTCAAAATCGCCCTGTATCTCATAAACGGAAACAGTTATGCAAAATCTGATTAGGCCATGTTGAATTTCACAAAAAAGTGGCACGCGATCGCGAAACCTGCAAGGTTCTATCTCGAAAGAAAATATTGACTCTTTTTTGAAGTTGAAAAATATATATTTCCAAATATTATACGTCCATGCTCTACGTCCATGATGTGAAGCATGTCAGATTTTCCTAATAGGTGAAAATTGTCATACAACAGAATAGCTGCGGCAGAGATTTTACACTGTGGGTAAGGATTAAAAATATCTAGAACGATGCGTTATAATTAAATTGATTGGAAATGATTAATGGAGAATTGTACCCGTGACTTCATAGTATCAATATCAGCTGTTTAATTATTTTGTTAAATTGGGAAAAGTCAGTATGAGTATCCCTTGATCGAAATACCCTCGAAAATACCTTTTTCGTGCACTATATTTTTATTATTGATTATTGATTCATGCATGTATTATTTACCCACACTCTTAATATACACTGTGTCCGTAAAGTATGGAACAAATTCGATATTTCCTAAACTAAAAACCTTTTCAAAAATATCTGAAACACGTCAATTTTTGATTTTGATGTTTTTTTTTATCGCTTGGAGCACACGAAAGGAAATTCCTATATAATGTTCAAAGAACATCGTGCGTGATACATACTACATTGAGGTGATGACGGCATCGGCAATTTTATCAAATGTAACATCCTCTATTTTTTGACCCCAAGTATAATACCTTTTTGGAATCAGCTCATTTTCACTGATCTAAAAATGTCACAAAATATAGGGTGTTACATAGAAAAAAATTGTCGATGGCGTCCTCATCTTTGTGTACCACCCTGTTGAATGAGATTTTGTGGTAAAATGTAGAACATCAAAATTAAAAATTGACGTATTTCTGATTTTTTTGAAAAGGCTTTTAGTTTAGGAAATATCGAATTTGTTCCATACTTTACGAACACAGTGCATAATTATGTTCAGGACATTTCAATAACAAGATGAAAAATGATATCTACTAATATTATAATGTGATGAAGTTGTTACTAAGGAAAAAAATACAATTTTCAATGTATCAAGCAAAGGCGCTGATGAATATAATGCGAACATTTTTCGTTGTTGAAAACAATACAGGGTGTCCCTGAAATGTCTGTACCGGGTAAACAACTAAGAACGGCTGTCGGCCATATCTCAGCAACGGATAATGATACAAGTTTGAGATAGAATAAATCTATTGGTATGCATATCATTATACGATGTAATAGAGAAACTAAATCTCAACAGACCAACGGAAACTGAAACATGATAGCGTCTCGCCAATGGAAGATATTAACTATCAATGTTGGAAGAATGATAGATATCACAACCGTTCTTAGTTGTTCACCCGGTACAAAATGATACCATAGACTCCTGAGACCAAAGTGAGATGATTGAACCAAACTCACCTCTATTGATCATTCCAGAATTACGTCATTTGACAGGTTGCTGAGGGGCAAACATTGTATTTTGTCAAGATCTGTCATAGAAAACCAGAATTAGTGGGATCGTTTTCCTTGGAATCCGAGTTGGAACCAGAAAGAATTTCATAATTTTGTTTGGTGAAACTGTTATTATATTGTGGATGTGGCAGAGGGACGGCCTGGGCAATGCTCATCAAAGGTAACCCAACAGTGTGCCCCTCAAGAAACCATGTCAAAATCACGTGTTCTAGAATGATCAATACCTAAACCACAGAACAACAGAATATTCTGTGCCTAAACGCTACGCCTAGATCCAAGTTAAGCTGCTACAGGGCGTTGGAATTGTTTTTTCTATTATTTATTTTTATGCAACACCCTGTGTTTCGAATTCGTAGTTAAATGTGTGCCACATATTGGATTTCACTGATATGAATGATGATTTCATACAAAAACAAAGTACGAACCTACAATAATTAAATAATTCTGAAGAGTACCTATGAGATTATTATATTGAATCGCAAAACAATAAGAATATCAAAAACTTTTAGTGGAGCTGAAAGTTAGGTATTAAATGAGGAAATAGAAAACAACATTGCGATCTGTTCAGTGGCGTACTCAGAGAAAGTTCTATATGATTTTGGATCAACAGTACTCCAAATATGTAACATCCTGTGTATTAATCAAAATGGTATGGGATGGTTTTATGCATAATAGTCCTTTATGTATGCCTACAAAATTTCAGAACGATATTTATAGACAATATTGGAAAATACGACAAAATAAAAAAATGAAATTCAATTCCGACGCCCTGTAGCGGCTAGCGTTTTCGTATAAATCATCTCTATTTGGTCTCAGGAGTCTATAGTATAACTTTGTACAGACCTTTCAGGGACACCCTGTATAATTGCATGATAGCATAGCTCACTATAATTAGATATTAGTATTATCTTTTTTTTTAATTGACTCGGCCGTTACTTGATGGAAATCTATGGCAAATGTAAAGATTTCACAAACGATAAGATTTCCACAAAATTCTTAAACACACAACATGTTTCGCTAACAACAGTAGCTTCGTCAGGTGATATACTGGTACAATGAACTAAACCAACCTTGGCTTGCTTAACTTTTATATATCCCACTTTCCCAACTTGAAGGATTAGTTACCTGTGGATAGGTCGGTAATCCTTCATTTTTGGAAATTAGGCACAACTATTTCAAAATACGGTGTACCGGATTAACTTGAAAGGGTTGGTAGCAAATACATATTATTACCTACTAAGAAAACAAATTCAACAGTGGTGAACTATTGAGGTCTGATTGATCGCTAAGTAAAATGTCAAAATTTTTTAGTTTGTTGATTTCTAATGATTCAAAATGATTGAAATTGATCAAAACTATGGTTTCCTTTTAATATATGGTTGGCGTATGTTGAATATGTTTTCTTTTTCAAAAAATTCATCTTATGTTCATGAATGCGCTGATTAAACGTACGACCTCTCTGACCGATATACAGGGTGTCTGTAAAAGGTCTTTACAAGAACATACCACATATTCCTTAGACCAAAATAAGTCGATTTAAGTAAAATTACCTTAGTACAAAGATGCATCGTTTGGGCTCCAGAGAGCCTTGAAGTTACAATTTTTAAATCGTTTTTCCCATATAAATTTAAAACGGCATATGCGATTTTGCTTTAATTTGGTATATTGATAGAATTTTATGTGGCAAAAAAATGGTGTTGAAATGTCCGATAATAATACATGGGCGTAGAACTTGATTTTTTGAATAATTGCACCTTTAAAAATTCTACGCCAATGGAAGAAAAGGAGTTTGAGTATGAAATTCAGATTGCGCAACTCATTTACTTTAAAAAAGGTAATCCTGGTAAGACTCGATTGCTCTCATGGTTTTGACGAAATTTGCATTTTAGTAATTCTAGAACATAAACAATAATTATTAAAATACAAACTTTGTCAAGACCATGAGAGTAAATCGAGTGTTATCAAGGGTATTGTTTTGTAGTAAATGAGTACCCAATCCAAATTTCATACTCAAACCCCTTTTCTGCCATTAGCGTAGAATTTTAAAAGGTGCAATTATTAAAAAAATCAAGTTCTACGCCTATGTGTTGTTATTAATTTTCTTTGACGTATGAATCTTTGTATCCGTGAAAATGGTGAACATTTTGAACAATTTTTGTAAAATCTCTATTCATTTTGATTATGTTGTAAATAAATATTTTTGTGAAACCAATACACTCTAAATTATTAAAACAGAAATTTTATCGAAAACCATGAGAGTAATCGAGTCTTATCAGGAGAACCTTCTTTAAAGTAAATGATTTGCGCAATCTGAATTTCATACTCAAACTCCTTTCATTCCATTGGCGTTGAATTGTTAAAGGTGCAATTATTAAAAAAAATCAAGTTCTACGCCTACGGATTAATATCGGACAAAAATTTAACACTATTATTTTGCCACATAGAACTCTATCAATATACCAAATTTCATGAAAATCGCATATGCCGTATTGAATTTATATGGGAAAAACGATTTAAAAATTGTAACTTCAAGGCCCTCTGGAGCACAAACGATGCAACTTTGTACTGAGGTAATTTTACTTAAATCGACTTATTTTGGTCTAAGGAATATGTGTTATGTTTTTGTAAAGACCTTTTACAGACACCCTGTATACATTAGGACAAGATCCACAGTTGAGTTTGTATACCACTGATTTTTCGAATTTAGAAGTTTTGTCTTTATTATTTTTGATAAACCTTTCCGTGTTATTTGTTCTATATGCTACTTTCAAGTCCTGTTTATGTAGAAATGAAGCTAATTTTTCAGTTGATGATCCGAAATAGGTTAAAGTTCTATAATTCTGATTATTATTCTTGATGGTAGGATAAACTTCTTATTTCCATATTTTGGCGAAAGAGCCCGAGTCCGAAGGAGGAGGGCTCTTGAATATCTTTATTATGAAGTTTTTTTGGAAAGAATACTGTCTATAATCATCATCATTCGTATTATAATAGAATGTTTCAATATTTTTCAGAAAACACCATAAGATTAGCATCATGTAACGGAGGACAAAGCCTGGTTCCAGGGGAACCTGATGGCCCCTGTGTGAAAACTGACATTCCTGGACCAAAATCAAAGGCCTTGATGGGTGAACTGAGCAAAAGCCTGGTAGGTTTCTTATTGAAAATTGATTTGTACGGATTATTGGCTGACGATGGACATTTGATTATCCGAAACATTGTGTATAAAAGAGTTTTTGTTTCCTGATCCTATATATACATATTAACATCACACTCCACGTTTGATAGGTGAGCCGACTGCACATTTCGACCGTCATCTGAGGTACAGTTGTATTTTAAAAAAGCGCACAAGTATTAGAGAGAGAAATGAACGTCATCCTATCGTCTATCGGGAATTTCTGTTTACCAAATATTGACAGTTTTCTTAAGGCGGGTCCACATTAGTAAAAATTTACGTTGTGCGGGGCATTCGGCACAAATTTGTATGCAACATACAAATTTATGCGAGTGTGGACGTGTTCGCCGCATGAAAAGGGACGCAAAATTTTTCGCCGCATTCAACGCACGCGATCCGTGGTTTGTCGGTTTTATTGTGAGATCAAAGGGATTTGCGCCACAAAACCGTGCAATTGTGGACGTATTTTCCAAGACGCAGTAATTTCATCAAGTTTTATTGCCATTGCTTGTGCTTTGCTGTTCTGTTGTAGATATTGAAATCAGTGAGTACCTATGTCTGCTAATTTATTAATGAAAAGGAAATGGGCTGCTTTCCTTGTTATGCACCATCTTATTATCAAAAAGGAAAAAGCTAAAAAGCCAAAAAACATGAGGCAGTATTGGATAAGGCATCTGTATCAAAACAGAAAACAATTAGACGGTATTTTAGTGAATCTATTATCCTTGGATGAGAGTACTGGTCATTTCAAAAAATTTTTGCATATGTCACCAAATGATTTTTCGCTTTTTCTCTGCGAAATGAGCCTAGAAGGCTAGATATTTTCTTTTTTGCGTCTTCTACATCTATATTTAAAAAGAATATTTCTATATTTAAAGATGTAGCGACTTCCTCCCAAGCATCATTCTTTTTAATTTTATGGAAATACCACTTGTCTTTTGGGTCCCATAAAATCTTATGTTTTTGATATTCTTGAATTAACTGGAGACTGTCCTCTTTGTTTAAATTCATTTTTGTTTATTTTCTAGATGTACTAACTAGGTATCGAGAACACAAAACAAACCACCACACAACTTCGCACACGTGTTGAGCAGGGACGCACGGCACACAACGTAAATATTTGAGGCATCTTAGCAGGGACGTTAACCAATTTGCGACGCAAATATTTATGGCGAATCCTAAATTCAACACACAACGCAAATATTTACTAATGTGGACCCGCCTTTAGGTTGCCAAAAATACAAAGCATTGGCTCAGCCAGTTTCACACAACTAGAACCAGGATTACGTTAACCACTCTTTCAAATACTTGTACACTTTTTTATTGAATGCAACTCTATATTGAAAAGGAATATTTTCAGATATATTTATGAACACAAAAAAAATGATATACAGGGTGTCCCAAAATTTGCCTGCCAAACTTCACCAGCGGCTTCTACGATCAAAAATAGGAAGGAAGGTTTCAATGAACATGAGACGAGAAATGTCTCCTAAAAGAGCTACGGCCCCCTGAAAGGGGGCTTCTGAAGATGATATTTCTTGAGTATTTCCGAAACTCCACGTGATAAAAAGATGCGATTCGCTTCAAGAACTAAACTTTCCATGCCCAATGCAGTGAAAATGAAATCATTTCAGAATTTCACTGAGGATTGTATAATACAGGGTGGGACTACATTAAATATTGCTCAAAATTCAGTTTTGTTGCCAATCTGACTTAGTGCTGTTCTATGGTGTTTCGTCCCCCATCACCTAATCTGTCTATCTATGCAACTAGTTGTTTCATGATCTGGATGACTTGACAGTTGACAGCATAAAATTTTACTGCAGTGCTTCCGCACACGTGATTCTTTTCTTGGTTATTTCCGAAGCCACATCTTTCTTATTATAGAAGATTGAGATTTTCAAGTTTAATTACCACTTATCGGTGATTTAAGGGTACCGTGGGCCCTTATTAAGGTACATGTAAAGCGACAAATTTCGCGTTTCTGATCTGTCAGATGTCGCTAGTGCTCCAGGTGTTACTTGATGTATGCAACCATAATTGCTCTACTTTTGTGTTTCATAGGGTAAAAATTTTGCAGAACCCTTCCGAAATATGCAGATTCCTTCGTTGTCTCTGTAAAATACATACCATTGTTGCCATAGCTGGTAATAGGTCTTAGACTTGCGATATTTTTTTGCAAATTGCATGGTATATACTGATATTGCGCGACATTATAATTATCTGATCTTTATTGTCTCCAGTGGGTGAAGGAGTAGAATTGAATTCTATATTAGCATCTATGAGAATATACATGTATATTTCGTGAGGATTCGATGCAAATAAAAGAGGCGACACATAAACACACAATAAATATAATAACAATTTCTATACATAGTGAGACGATGTGTTGTCGGAGCGCGAACGCATAGATGAAAAGATCGGCAATCGCCTTCAAGGTCATTTTCTCGGGTGCAAGGCGGCTAGGCGGAAGCTTTGACTTTGAGGTTCGAAGCGATGCGCTAATGAGCGTCGGCGTCGGCCGCCTCTTCTGTTTCGGGTATTGGGTATTTAGGAGATTTTACGAGGGTTAATTATTATTATTATGAATCGTTCATATTTCAGTGATAACGTTCGCTACAGGGGTGAATGGAGAAACACTAGTGTGGCTCATATACTTATTTGTTTGTATATGAATGGAATATATGGAATTGGTATGGAATGATATTTATAATATACACGGTGGTCCAAAATTGCCTTCCGATGTATTTCTGGGGGAATACATTCTTGATGACATTATTGAAATTTTTCAAGTGAAAACTTTAGGCGCGTTCAGCACTTTGTTGGGTGAGGAAAAACCAAAAAACATTGAATTTCCGTCCCGATCCGTCCGTCCGAACCCGTTCCGACCTGTCGCCGAAGTCACGACTGAACGATAATGAACATCAAAAAATCCGAAGAGTATCTTATTCCATCCTTGATTATACACTAGTGTATTTTGTAATAATTATGATCAGATTCTATTCAAAACTGGTATAGGTATCTAGGGGTTTTCGGGGATCGACGGAGATTATGATTTTTCTGTCAGACTTTGAGAATACAAGATGGCGGAGCCAATATGGCAGACGAGTTCTGTAATTATGGTCCGACTGTATTCATAATTGGTATCTGGGGGTTTTCGAGGTCGGAGATTATGATTGTGTCATCAAAATTTGGAAATTCAAGATGGTGGAACCAATATGGCTGACGAGTTTTGTAATTAAGATCCAATTCAAAAATATTGTATATCTGAGGTTTCCTGGATCAGAAATCATGATTTTACCATGAAAAATTCGGAAATTTATGATGGCGGATCCAATGTGACACACGAGTTTTGTAATTATGATCCGATTCTATTCAAACCTTATATCAGGGGATTTTCATCGGAAATTATGATTCCTTAGTCAAAATAAAGAAATTCAAGATGACGGATTCAATATGGCAGATGAATTTTGTAATTATGATATATTCAAAATTTGTATCTGAGGGTTTTTTGTACAAAATATGATGTCGAAATTGAAACAGTTTTACTTGAATCATTACGCAGTAGAGCTAGTCGATAGTTTATAGACATGAAAGGAATACTTAGGTATGCCAATTCCATACAACTCCATCCCGAGAAATGTGAAGAAGCACACATAAGTAATTTTCTAAGAACTCATATGTCTTTGAATCAAAATCCTATCCTTTTACCATACTATGTATGTTTATGCTCGGTGGTAACGGGCATAAAAATAATCATAATGAGGCTTCAGAAGATGAGTCATTCACTTCATGATGTTCGACTTACTTTCGCGAAAAGTCATAAATCAGCCCTGAAAATTACATAGGTATATAGCTGAATTCCTGATTACATTACTCAGCCAACGAGGTGTAACAAGATGATTCTATACAGCCTGTCCCACTTCAAACGGTGTTTTTTACCAAATTTGGACCGGTATGAATAACTATACTGAATAACCTCATCAATATGATCAATTTTTCTAAGACAATCACCATTTTGGACAGTGCCGTGAATTTTTATTGAAATGAAAATGGTTTCAAACCTTCATATGAATATTTTCATATAATTTCTATAAGAGGTTTCAAAGGAACAGGCAGATCTGAACATATACAGACTGTTTTTGGTTTTTGAACGCGTGAATAATTATTTACTCGGAAACAGAGAGTACAAAAATGAAAGTATATCCTGTTTTTTTGTCTCAAATCATCATTGAACGTTTCAGAATTTGCAGTTGATTCAAACTCAGTATTTTTCGAGGCAGAAATAGGAGCAATACTATGAAGTTAGTTTACCTGCAAAAAATCCTAATATAATTTCATAAAATATCAACCTCTTTTCATTTCCATTGAAAGGTTCAAATGTCCAAAAGGATGTTCATCTCTGAAAAACTGATCATATTGATGATTATTGATACCGATCAGAATTTGGTGAAAATCGCAAGACTATAATAGTTGAGTTATATACCTATAGAATAGAGGAGGGGTCTGGTTTAATAAAGATCCTGTTCTTGATGAGAATCGCCTTATTTCGGAAATATTTATATCATCACTATTATATATCATTGGTTCAGATGAACATAAATGTCTCTTATATGAGGGAGCTACAGCCCCCTGGAAGGGGGGTCCTAAATATGATATTCCTTGAATATTTCCGAAACGCCATATGATATAATAATGCAATTCGGTACAAGAACTAAACTTTCCATCGAGCTTTCCATGCCCAATGCAGTGAAAATAAACCATTCCAAGATTTGCTCTTGTTCCGAATCAATCAGAGATGTATCATTTTCGAGGAAAATCGATCAGAAAATATTGTACCTTCTCAATACATATTCGTTTTATTGTTAATTTTTAGTGTTTTATATAATTTTATGAAAATTGTATATCGCTACTTCGATGGGAATCAACACCCCAGAAGTCGAAACTTGTGCGGGGTTATGGTGAGCGAGACC